TTAGTTTTAGGAAAGGCACTGAGAACAGGGCACCTGTGCCATGGACACCTCCACCAGTGCTACCAACAGTTCCAGCCTCCACATCTCCCAGTTCATCTTGATGGGGCTCCCAGGCATTCACGAGTGGCAGCACTGGCTCTCCCTGCCCCTGGCTCTGCTCTACCTATTAGCTCTTGCTGCCAATATCCTCATATTCATCACCATCCAACATGAACCCACGCTACATGAGCCCATGTACCGTTTTCTGGGCATATTGGCACTTGGTGACCATCCCAGTGCCTGTGCTGGCTGCCCAAAGACTCTACTGCTCCAAGAATGAAATTGACCACTGCCTGTGCTCTAACATGGGGGTCATCAGCCTGGCTTGTGATGACATCACTGTGAACAAATTTTACCAACTATTCTCAGCATGGATCATACTTGGGAGCGATATGGCTCTTGTTTTTTCTTCCTATGCACTAATCCTTCACTCTGTGCTGAGGCTGAACTCAACCAAAGCAATGTCCAAGGCTCTGAGCACCTGCAGCTCCCACTTCATTCTCATCCTCTTCTTCTACTCAGGTATCATAGTGGTATCTGTCACACACCTTGTAAAAGAAAAGATTCCCCTTATCCCTGTACTCCTTAATGTGCTGCACAATGTTATCCCCCCTGCTCTCAACCCCATGGTCTATGCTCTCAGGATGGGAGAGCTCAGACTGGGTTTCCAGAGGATACATGGGTGGGTGAATTTTCCACCCACATCAGAAGTAACCTTAGCTTTATAAGGCCATACAGATGTTAATATGACAGAGGTTGTAGCTCTGAATAGGCCTAGATTGTAAAAAATTGGGGGAAAATACAATAACATCATGAAAACTGTCAGCCTCACTTATTGAAATAGACATTTAAAAAGTATAATTCAATTGTCTATTACTAAAAAAAAGAGTAAAAAAATGAAATATCTCTGACCATTGTTGCACCTAGAGATCAACACACTTATACACAGCTACCATACATTCAGATGTAATATATACATGGAAAATTTCATTTAATTGTGTGGTAAAGTGTTCTTCCTAGGAAATGAAAACAAAAAAAATGGCCTGAGAAAATGCTCTAGAAAAGTAGTTCCAAATAACCAATTAATTAAGTATAAATTAATTTTACCATTTGCACATCTCATAAAAATGCATACTTTTGATTACAAGGATCCTCAACCATGTTCATGTTGTACCTTCTCTGAGCCTAGTACACCTTTGTACATAATACCTGCTTAATAAACACTTCATTCATGATACAGTCAGTCAGGAGGCATAGGCTGCTGAATCCTATATAGCACAGAAAATGTCCTGGACCATGGTCTGAAGAGTGACCTCAGGAGGTTTGTATATGATTTCACCTTGGAGAACAACCTCTTAGAACCAGCGCTGGGACTGAAGCAACAACAGAAGCCATGAGCTCATACACTGATGGTGGGAACGTCAACTGGGGCAGCTCTTTTAGAAAAGAGCCCAACAGCTTCTCCAATGACTGAACAAGAGTCACCATAGAACCCAGCTATTCCACACTTATGTGCATACCCAAAAGAAATTGAAAACATATGGCCTCACAAAACCTTTTCCCCAAAATAATAAGACACATCATAATACCAAGAAATGAAAACAACCCAAAAGTGCATCACCTGTTGAATGGGCAAACAAAATGTGATATATCCATACAATGGAATAATAGTAGAAAAAAAGTAAAGAAGTAATTATGCTATCTGAAAGAAGACAGACAGCAAAAGACACATTTTATTATTCCATTTATATGAAATGTCCAAAATAAGCAAATCCATAGGACAGAAAGAAGATAAGTGGCTGCCATGGTTAAGGGAAAGGAAAAGTGGGGAACACCTGTTCAATAGGTATAGGGTTTCTTTTGAAGGTGGTGAAAATTTCTGTAATTAGAAGTGAGAGCTGCACAACATTGTGAAAGTACTGGAAGCCACTCTAAAATGGTTACAACACTGAATGTTATGTTATGTGAATTTCACCTCATTTTAAAAAAACACGCAACTTACTTCTTGCAATTTTTCTTCATTCTTTTCCTGCTAACCAAATTGAGCATCATTCCAGCTGACAAAGGCATTTACAGGGGCCAGATCCACTTTCACAGAGCAAGCCAAAAGGCATGAGTTGGTAACTGAGTCACAGTAAGTTGATTAACCAGCAAGACCCACACCTTTGACTACTCAACTTCCATATAGACCCTTTTATATACATTTTGAATTCTCATACAACAATGAAACAACCGAACTTTAAATGATAAAGCTATTCTTCATACAAAGGAAGAAATTTTCAATTTTTCCCAACAGTAACAAGATGCACAGTTCCAACATTGCTGGCTATATTACCTATTCCTCAAATTCAATCACAGTCCCATTGAATAATTCTGTCACCTAGAGACTAAATTATGAAGTTAATTTCTAATAATGTATATATAAAATAAAAATTGAAAGGAGAGAAAAGAAAGTGATTAGTATATAGAAATAAAATCTTGCATATAAAAAGCAAGTAGAAAATAATCAAAGCTACTAGTTTTAATGCCTATAAATGTTTACTAGTTCATAATTGATAAGTGCCATATATCTTCCAACTTTGTCAAAACTTGGTAGAATAACCAAAACCTTTATTCCTAAAGGGTCTGAATTCTCATTCATCCTGCTAAAGATTTAGAATCCTGCTGTGGATTTAGCATCTTTTTTCATTGGTATACTTTTCTATTAACCTTTAGTGTTGGGCATGGAAAGTACTAAGAGGTACCTCAGAGAATACCCTGCATTTCCAACACAGTCTACTTGCTTCCATTCTATAGATGCAACCTAATTTGCTCTTTGGTAATTAGAATTAATCACTCCAGGTAATATATTAATCTTTTCTTTTTTTGGATTTATGGTGTAAAGTAGTAAAACGCATCCCTTGATATGAGGATACATAAACAGAGAGCCCATTAAAATATTTTTTTCTAATCCTCTGATGATATTTGAAGTATTTGTTTTCATTACCAGAAATGCAAATCCAAATCTAGAATATGTGCCTATCCCATTTTTCAAGACATGTCAGTACCCTCCTGGGCCATGAAATCCACTGAGAGCGTCATGTCAGTCTGGATAGTGTTCCATCGTGGTCTCACGTCTCTGGTTAGCCCTGTTGACAAACAGAAATATTTTGAGTTTCAGAGGAAGTCAGTGGATTCAACTGAACACCATTTATTTGCTTATTGCCCATTATAGCATCATCAGAATAACCTCATAACCTCTCATCTCACATACCTAGGAAGACTCCCCCAGAAAATGGATTAGAGCATCCACCTGTTGATTCTAGTCACTTCGGAAGTCAGAAAAGGGCTTTTCTGATGAGCATAAATATGCTCCTCTTTAAATTATCCTTTTCCAAGTTCATAATATTCCACATTATTTTGCACACCATACTGAGACGCCTTTTATTATTTAGTCATCTGAGATCCATTTTTTATAACATCAGAAATTTATTGTGTGTAGTCAAAAAATAGATAAAATTACATCCTCTTATATTGTCATCATCATTTAGTTTCTCTAATGCCATGAAGAAACCCATGGAGCAGACCCACCCATCCTTTGGGTAAGTTGATTGTTGAAAACTATCACAGAGAATAATCTTTCCCAGAGCAGACTGACATTCTGTTAGAGAAAGTAATTTTAGGTATTTATAGATTTTCTAAGTTATCTTTTGATGTCAGCTGTAAAGAATAAGCCCATCTAAGAAATGTTTGCCCATGTTCTTCCTTTGGAAATCTATGCTATTCTCTCCATAGACTTTTTAGTGGCCTGAACAATACATTATTATTTCCAAATCCTTCTTGATTAAAAATTCACATTTTTTATCAATATGTAAATTTATTGTTACCAAACATAAGAATGTAAATTACTGTTCAGCCTGAACTACTTATTTTCCTGACCATGTTCTTTTACAGCCAAGAAGTAAATTTCCCAAATGTTCTGATAAATCTGTGATTTTATTTAGCTATAACTTGACAATAATTTATGACTCAACATACCCTTTTTTAATTTTATTTTATTGCTTAAAGTGTTACAAAAATGTAGTACATATGTTTCCTTTTTTCCCCATTGACCTTCACCCAGCCTCCTCTACCCCCCAGTACCTTTCATTTGGTCTATATGCTTATATGCATGCATACAAGTCCTTCAGTTGATCTCTTACCTCCCCCACTCCTAACCTCCTTAGCCTTCCCGCTGTAGTTTGACAGTCTGTTCAATGCTGCTCTGCCTCTGTATCTATTTTTGTTCATCAGTTTATAATGTTCTTTATTGTCCATAAATAAGTGAGATCATCCGGTATTTTTCTTTCATTGACTGATTTATTTCACTTAGCATAATATATCTTAATTTTAGCAAGCTGCAGCTCACCTTACATCATGTTAAAACCTAACCAACTTAATATTCTACTTAACAAAATTGTTGAAACACTAGGTATATTTGGTGTGGAAAAAAAAAAGATGTGTTTCACATATTGATCAAAAAAAATTAGGGAAACTCCAAAAATTAAAGGTAACTGTGATGGAATTATGAAAGAATAGATGCCAAAAGGTATAGGAGAAAGCACTAATACAAAAATAAGGTATATTCAGATAAGAAATGTCTGATACTAATAGAAACAGCAGGCTATGAAAAAAACAACCTGGGGATTAATGGGTAAGACAGCAGAAGTAGTCAGGCATGTCTATCCTCCTGCACATACATTCTTGGACCAAGAAGTGGGCTAAAAGTCAAGCAATAGTAGTAGGTGTGTCCAGAATATTGGAGATTGGGTCAGAAAACAGGGCAGTGATCAACATGGCTATAAACAACCATGCCCCATGAGCTTCAACGATAAATAAAGCTATTAGCACACCTCTTACCTCCCCTACAACCGATTGCATCAAACAAATACAACAGCATCCAGAGATTGCCTACTAGAAAGGAAATCAACTAACCAATGACCAAGATGGCTTGATCTAAGACAAATTTCTTCCTGACTATAAACCCCTGGCCTTTCTTTTCTTATAGCATTTGCTTCAGAAAACATGTAATTGTAAATTCATTCACTGCCCCTTTGTAGTGTATATAAATCATCTCCTATCTTCTTGCCAGTTATACACCCAGGAAATGTCTTTCTCAAGGACCTGGAAACTATCTCCTGAAATGTAAACATTGAAGGAGATACCCCACCTCTCTGTCTCTGTGGAGAGTAGGAGCCTAACTTCCTTGGGCGCCAATTAGCAAACACAGATGGCCTCATCACAGACAACAAGATGTGCAATCTCAGGAATAACTCAATGTGCTTGACACATCTCATTGATCACCCTCCTTCAGTATTTTTCCACAGCTCACCCCAGGGCTGAAACCCATTGTACATGACACCTTACTTCAGCCCAATCTGGCCTTTTGTTTCAATAGAACTGGGTATCCAGACTTGTCTGTGTTCTCTTCCCCATTGCTGGCAATAGTATCAGTATAAAATCAACTTCTGTTTGCCCATCCTGTGTAGTACAATTTTTCTTTAACACCAGATACAACCATCTATTTGAGCAAAACCAACATGAATAGTGGCATTGAAGTTAATAAGCCCAACTCACACCCAAAGAGATAGAATAAATTCAAAAAGTTCTTCTGGAAGTAACCTCTCTATGCCAACTCTCTACTTCAGGGTTTCAGGGTCACTCATCCTTTCAGGTCTAGAGGTAGTGACAAGTGCTATATTAGCCCTAGGTAACTGTACTATAACTTTGGAGCTTTTACTGATCACATCCTTATAAATAGGCTCTTTGTAAGTAATCCTTTCTCAAAGTATTCTAATTTGAGAAATAACCAGTGTCGGCAAGGTTGTAGAGAAAGGGATCTCTTGTG